CAATTTTTCAAGTGCAAAAAGCGGACGAACCCAAAGCGCTCTCCAAAGCCTTTTATTTTGTTTTGGGTTTAGGTATGCCGTACTATAAAGAGGGATGCAAGTTGAAGTGGTCTGAGAAAGATAGAGTGCTCAAGCATAAAAATAAAATCAAAAGAGACACAAAATCACCTCATGAACACTTGGACATTGTTTGTGGACTTTTGGCAGCCCTCGGGGTGAGCCGAGAGTTCCGGCTGTCAGAAGTGCCGACGTTTGGTGTCGGAAGCCCCGGCGCTTGCTGACTTAGCCGCAGCCCCCTGCAGCATCTTTGCCCGTCGGAAGCCCCGACGAGAGTCCAGAGTTTCGGGTGCCGAAAGTTTCGGCTCCCTCCGTAAGTCCTGACACTTCATGACTTAGCCGCCTGCGCATCTTCGTCCGTCGGAAGTCCCGACGGGAGTCGGGAGTTTCGGGTGCCAGAAGTCCCGGCTCTCGCCGGAAGTCCCGACGCCTTGGGACTTAGTCGGCTGGCTTACCATGTCTGTCGGAAGTCCTGACGAAAGCCGGAAGTCCCGGGGACCGTCGAAAGTTCCGACGATATGCGAGCAAGCCTAGTGAACTGTCTGTGTGAGGAGTGTTTTTGCGTTTGAGCCGGAAGTTCTGGCGATCTGTGTCGAACTTTCGACTCAGATCTGAACGATTGATTTGCCTGAGAGTATAAATAGCTCTCTCCTCTCTTCTAACCGGCATCACTCATTCATTGCTCACCAACCTTCGTCCAAAACTACTCCCAAGCATTCAAGGCTCCCCTCTCCTCTCCTCTTTGCTCCAATCTTCGATTCCCCAAGGGTTTTGAGTGAAAGGAGAGTGGATTGAGTGAGAGAATCACTTTGGCAAGCTTGAGCACTAGATTTCTTCGTCAAGCTGGTTGGATTTGCGTCTATTACTCTTGGGTTCTTGGAACCCTAGCCGACTAGGCATCGCCCAAGAGCTTCTATATTGTGGAAGAGCCATGGAAAGTTTGTATTACCCTTGATTTCTTAGTGGAAAGCTCGAGTGACCTTTATGGTTGCTTTGAGAGAGGCAAGGAGGTGGAAGAGACTCCGACTTTTATGGTCTCCTCAACAACGAGGACGTAGGAGCTCCTTTGTGGGGTTGTCTCCTTTGTGGGGTTGCCGAACCTCAAGATAAATTCTTGTGTCCCACGTGCTTGTTGTTGTTGTGATTTGTGCTATCATATTTGTTCTTGTTGGTTTGTCTTCCTCCCTAACTCTCCTCTTAGGGTTTGAACTCGATCTACGGATTGGTGACCTGCTAGCGTCAAAGGAGCAACCCCAACACTTTATCTTACCACTGGGGAGTGGGTCTGTAAGATATCTTTCACTCAAAGTTCGTTTTAGCACTTGTAGTACTGTTCTCGTAGGTGCCAGAACTCCCGGCTGTTTTTGTCAGCACTTCCGGCTGCTTGAAGTTCCGGTCCAAATTGTCGGGACTTATGATTATCACTGACATTTGACTTTAAGATTACGTAGAAACTTTTTAGATACACCTATTCACCCCTCTATGCATTGTTTAGATCTTTTCAATATTGCAAGTGTGTTTATCTGGATGTTGCATATGTTTTCACACATATGATGCAAGTGCTTTTATCTAGATGTTGCGTATGTTTACAATGTTTTTCAAGTGTTTTTCAGGTGTTTTTGCAAGTATTTTAGAAATATGTTTCATTTGTTTTCAGACGTATGTTGCAATTGTTGCATCTAGATGTTTCAAAATTAGATCGAGTGTTGCATCTCCCTCTTCGCCTTTCTGTTGTCTCGCTTAGGTGTCTGGCGCAGGAAGGCGGAGGCGGTCCCCACTGGCATGTGCAGGCCCCACATGCTTACAGCGGGTGTAGACGGAACGTGGGCGGACAGGCGCGGGGCACGACACGAGGGAGCAGCGCAGGCGTTCGGTCCATACGCTAGCCACGCCCAAAAGTTTATAGGCCCTGTTCGGTACACCCAAAAGCTAGAAAAGCCACCTCACCTTCATCGTTAAAAAAACGACCTCTCCCTGCTGTTTCTCAAGATTCCTACATGTCGTCTTATCGTAGATGTACCAGGTGCTATGTCATTTTTCTATGTTATGAGACAGTCTCTCATACATGGATACGTGTAAAATGCTTAACTTTTCTATTTCTGCTAGCTCAAGAGATTTTTTACGTATCTCTTCTCTGTGTCATCTCATATTAGCTTAGAGCTGGTCATCGAAGCATTTGAAGGTGCTATTGTAGCATCTCCAATAGTGTGAATAATAAAAAGAAAAGTCTAGGGTGGAGCTAAAAGACAGTCTCAAATATTTCAGATGCCCTCTCTCACTGGCTTATAGCTAGTGCTATATTATATTATATTTTTAGGGATAATTATATTATAGTTTTTTTGGAGATATTATATTATATTTTTGAGAGAATATTGTATTGTATTATTATATATAGTTGGAGATGCCTTACGGCCCAATCGATAGGTGGGCAGTGGTCTGGATGTGTCCTTGGTGGTTTTGGTCACGGGAGAAAGTGGGAAACAGGCCCAACCTTGCAGGCTTCCTGATTGGAGCAGTTACGGGCCTATTGTAGGCTACGTACTGGACTCCTAGTCAGTGTGTAGCCTGCCGAGCCCGGGCAGGCAGAACTTCTCACTGGATCGATTTCCTGGCTTGAACGATGACAACTTCTCACTCCACCGCGGCTCGGCCCACCATACCAGGCCCACGCGTGCAAGCGCATGGCCGCCACATTCATAGCTGTCTGTCAAGCTGTAGACGACCGGCACGCGACGCGAGCACGGCGTGGCCCCTCCATCGTAAATTTTTAAATTTTTAGTTAGAATAATATTTTTTCTCATACTAAATCAGCCAACAGTAATAATCAACGATCACATACGATCGTTTTAGCCTAACTGAATAGGCTGCTCTCCTATCATCCGCCGCAGCGCACCCGGACCCCGGTCCTCCCTTGTCGCTGAATCGCTGATTGCGACCGCACATCATCCTCACCTTAAATTTACTCCATATCCCATCGAATATTTGACATATATATATATGAAGTATTAAATATAAACTAAAAAATAATTAATTACATAATTTACGACTAATTTACGAGACGAATCGTTTAAGCCTAATTAGTCCATGATTTGACAATATGGTGCTACAATAACACATACACTAATAATGAATTAATTATGTTTAATAAATTCGTCTCGCGGATTACTGATAGAATCTATAATTTTTATTAGTATCCGAATAACTCATGCGACTTCACATATAACATCCAAAACTTTACTCCTCAATTTAGGGCGCGTTTAGATGGCGTTTTTTTGGTTTTGGCTACTGTAGCACTTTCGTTTGTATTTGATAATTATTGTCTAATTATGGACTAATTAGGTTCGAAAGTTTCGTCTCGCGATTTCTCATCCAACTGTGTAATTAGTTTTGTTTTTCGTCTACATTTAGTACTTTATACATATGCCGCAAGATTCGATGTGACATTTTAGGGTAAAAATTTTGGGAACTAAATAGTGTCTTAATGAAGCCCTTAAAAGTCCTGACAAAGTCGCAAGTCCTCACCCACTCACCACGCTCTTTTCATTATTACGCCAGCGCACGCTCGCAGTCGCAGCGGGTTTCGTATTTCAATGGGGGCAGGTGCCTCCTCCCGCAGGTGGTTCCACTGACGAGGACGTGGTCGTGGCGGCGGATGCCATTGCCACGCCAGCGCCGGACGCCGGAGATCCGGAGCTAGTACAGCAGAGGAAGGGTAAGCGGAAGAAGAAGAAGAGGAAGCGGCCGAGGGCGCCGACGGAGGAGGAGGTAGCCGCGCGGAGGTCCGTGCTCCGCTGGGCCTGCCCTGGTCGAGAAGAGGTGTGCGACCATGAGCCGGGCGATGCTGGGAGGCGGCGGCCGCGCGTGGTGGTGGAGCTGCACGCGCACTCGGCGCGCAGCGACGGCTCGCTCTCGCCTGCCGACGTCGTGGAGCGCGCACACCGCAACGGGGTAAGCTTTCGGCTTTCGCAACAGACTGCATAGTTTTAGGCATTGTTCCTTTGCGTACTTGCACAAACGCGCGTATGAGTATGACTAGGGCCCCGTTTGTTTATGCTTATAAGCGGCTTGTCGGTGGAAATAAGCGAGAATCCCGTCAAACATTTTGTTTATTTTCATTGATTCTCGCTTATGTGGTAAGTCGCTTCAGAGATTTAAACTACGAGAAGCGAGAAGCGAGAAAATCTTCGCTTAAATTATAAATGGCCCCCTGGTCTGTTGTCAGTGCATGCTGCTTAATTAATATATCTGTGATCAATCCAGATTCCAGAGTCACATGTGTAGTTCACTGGTTGTGTGAGATATGCGTTGCACAGTAAGAACTTTACACGCTAATGCACGTGTGAACTGCCTTTCGAGGTGAAAGTGCTCGCGCTAACTGATCACGACACTATGGCCGGCGTCCCAGAGGCCGTGGAAGCAGCAAAGCAGTATCCCCAATCAGGATTATCCCTGGTGTCGAGATCAGCGCCGTGCACTCGCCTAGGTAACACTTCTCTCACGATCGTATATGATGGCCCCGACATGTTCACTACAAAGTGTGCTTAATTCTTAGCAGTGATAGAAGTCTTGAACCATTTAGGTGTAGATCAGTGGATAAAACATAACTTAGATGAGAAACTTGATGATGTACCTCGCCATGGCGCGGCGTGACACGTCTCTAGTGTCGGAGTAGAGGTAGCATCGTAGTGGTGGCACGGTTCAGTGGCGGCGGTGAAGGCGATTGAGCTTCCGTCGCTTACAACACACCCTCACGATCGGACTAGGATTAGGACATGGTGGGGTGCTGGCGGCTGCGGTGAACCTCGTGCCTCGAGCCCCAGCCTCCACCTCCTATTTATTACGCTGTGCGATAGGGGCCCATCAGCCGGTTAGAACCGCCTGAGCGCCCCCGATCAGGGCACGACCAACTGGTGTAGATCATCCTAACAAGTTGTAGTGACGAAATGGGGGCTGAGGAACCTGTGCACATACTTGCATACTATGGTGCCTGGGGACCTGCTAAACCTCAAGAATTAGAAAGGTTTCTGGCCAGTATCAGGGATGGCGGTATGCGTGCGCCAACCAGATGTTACTGAAACTTAAGGACCTTGGCATGCCAATGAAGCTGGAAGATGTCTGCAAGATAGCAGGGAATGGAGTCGCTCCAGGCCGACTACATGTGGCCCGGGCCATGGTTTATGCTGGATATGTGGAGAATCTAAGGCTGGCCTTTAGCAGGTATTTGTAAGATGGAGGACCGGCTTATGCCACGTAAGTCACAGTATGCTTAATTGCTTATGATTCATCCCCTATCAGGTGAATCATTTTACAATGTTGAGCTTGTTTTGTTCATTTGTAGAGGTAGTGAGCCCAATGGAAAATCTGTGGTGCAACTAGTTTGTCGAACAGGGGGTGTAGCAGTTTTAGCTCATCCATGGGCATTGAAAAACCCTGCTGCTGTGGTAAAGGATTTGAAAGCTGCAGGTTTGCATGGTATTGAGGTTTACCGAAGCGATGGGGAAGTATCTGGTATGAACAAGATGGCCATGTTCATATTATAGCACTTCATGATCTACTGTATTCGTTGTGTCTTTTTATTTCTGTACGCTATATCTGAATTTTTCAGTGAGTAACAGGTGAATGTTTCTTGAACAGGATTGAGTGATCTAGCCGATGTGAGATTGATCTCCACCAGTTGGTCCAACGGCTAATTGGGTCCTTGATCCGCGCTCTGATCGGGGGCGCCCAGCCGTTCTTCTGGCTGATGAACCCTCGTCACGCAGCACTATAAAGAGGAAGGTGGGGGCCGGGGCGCAAGACACGAGGTTCACCGCAGCCACCAACGCCCCACCGGTTTTTCTATCCCTAAACCGATCTAGAGGGCACGCTGTAAGCGACGGAAAGTGCCATCGTCTTCGTCGTCGCAACTGGACCGCGCCTCCACGTCGCTTCTATCTCGTCGGCGGCGCCATGGCCGCGACTGCCTCTCGATGAGGTACATTAACAAGTTCTTTTTCTGAGTTGAGTTTTACCCGCTGGATCTGAACCTAGATGATCCAAGAATTCTTTCAATGGTACCAGAGCCAGGTTTTCTAGTGTGTAGATCTAGATCGGAGAAGAAAAGAGAAAAGAAACTAGAAGAAGCTGAGAGATTTCCAAGTTTTTCCCAAACCCTAACCCTAGATCGCAAGATTAGAAAGGACGGAGAGGGGAGGATCCTACCTGGGTACACTCGCCGTCGTGCAGGAAGAAGTCCCGCCACCGCCGACCGCCTGATGGCGCCGCGCAGGAAGTCATGCCAAGCCGGCGTTGATGTCATTCGCTCGGAGTTTCGCAAAGGTTTGCTCAAGATCGGTAATGAGACGGTCAGCCCGCTTGGACTTAACCGCGATGTCGTCAACGTAGGCCTCAACGGTCTACCCAATGAGGTCCCCGAAGCATTTGAGCATACATCGTTGGTATGTAGCCCCAGCATTATTCAGACCGAACGACATTGAGACGTAGCAGAACGATCCGAAGGGGGTGATGAAAGACGTCGCGAGCTGGTCGGACTCTTTCATCGCGATTTGATGGTACTCGGAGTACACATCAAAAAGTAGAGAGTTTCGCACCCCGAGGTAGAGTCGACTATTTGGTCTATGCGTGGCAAGGGGAACAAATCCTTTGGACACGCCTTGTTAAGACCCGTATAGTCAACACACATCATCCATTTCCCGCTCTTCTTTTGTAAAAGAACGGGATTAGCTAACCACTCTGGGTGGTGTACTTCCCTAATGAATCCGGCCACTGAGAGTTTGGCTATTTCTTCGCCGATGGCCCTATGTTTCTCCTCGTCGAAGCGATGCAGGCGTTGTTTCATCGGCTTGGAGCCTGGATGGATCTTCAAGGTATGCTCGGTGACCTCCCTCGGAATGCCTGGCATATCCGAGGGTTTCCACGCAGTGATGTCATTGTTGCCGCGGAGGAAATCGACGAGCGCGCTTTCCTATTCGGAGGAAAGCATGGTACCAATGTGTACCGTTTTACCCTCGGAGTTGCTGGGATCTATGAGGACTTCCTTGAAGCCCTCTGTCGATTCGAACGACCCGGTTGATTTCTTCGTGTCGGGCGCTTCTTCGGAGACCTCTTTGAGGGCCACGAGTTCTCCGGAGGCGACCATTGCTGTGGTGTGGCCGCAGCACTCGACCTCGCACTCGTAGGCCTGCTGAAAGGAGGTGCTGACGGTTATGACCCCGTTGGGGCCCGGCATCTTCAGCTTGAGGTATGTATAGTTGGGGACGGTCATGAACTTCGCGTAACATGGTCGTCCCAGGATGGCATGGAGGGTTCTAGGGAACCCAACCACCTCGAAGGTGAGGGTCTCAGTTCCGTAATTAAATTGATCCCCAAAGGTAATGGGCAGATCGATCTGCCCGAGTGGCATGGCCTGCTTCCCAGGCACGATGCCGTGGAAAGACGCTCGGGTTGGGCGGAGGCGTGTTCGGTCGACGCCCATCACGTCGAGCGTCTTGGCGTACATGATGTTGAGGTCACTGCCTCTGTCCATTAGTACTTTGGTGAGTCGCTTTGGGCCGATGATCGGGTCGACCACAAGTGGATATCTCCCCGGGTGCTCGATGGTATCCGGACGGTCGGTCCAATCGAAGGTTATGACGGATTCCGACCACCGTGGAAGGGAGGTGTGGCCGGTTGGGCCGTGTAGACTTCGTGGCGTGCGACCTTCTGACAACGTTTGGAGTCGTAGGCCACTGAGCCTCCGAAGATCATAAGGCAGTCGTTCGGTGTTGGAAAGCCGTCGTCCTTCTACTTGGCGTCGTCTCGCAATGGGGGCAGGTTCCTTCCCTTGCTCCCCTTTGTTGGAGCTTCCGGACAAGACTTCCGTATGAGGCTGCAGTCCTTGAGCAGATGCTTTATGGGAAAGGCGTGGTTCGGGCACGACCCCTTGAGTAATTTTTCGAAGTGGTTCGGAGTGCCCTCCATGTGCTTCCGACCACCCTTACGGTCAGCAGTGGCCACGAGCGAGTCCTCGTGCCGTTGCTTCTTGTTCTTCCTTTAGGCAGAACGATTAGAGGTGCCTTCGCCGGCACCCTCGTCCCGCCTTGCCTTGCCCTCGAGGCGATCAAAGATCGCTTTGATCGCCTCTTCTCCTGAGGCATGGCTGGTGGCGATGTCCAGGAGTTCCTTGGTGGTTCGCGAGCCCTTGTGTCCCAGATATGAACCAAGGACTCGCATGTCGTCCCAGACAGGAAGGCTCCTATCACGTCGGTGTCGGTGATGTTAGGGAGCTCGTTGCACTGCCGGAAGAAGCGCCGGATATACCCGCGGAGGGTCTCACCGGTCTTTTGACGGCAGTTCTTGAGGTCACATGGGTTCCTAGGGCGCTTGTACATGCCCTGGAAGTTTCCCACAAAGATCTCCTTCAGATCCGCCTAACTCTGGATTGCGTTGGACGGCAGGTGTTCCAACCATGCTCGTGCCAAATTGGCCAAGAACAGAGGAAGGTTGCGATAATGAAGTCGTCATTATCCGCACCATCGGCTCCAATAGTCTTCAAGCCAAAGTCCGGGGTTTGTCTCCCCATAGTATTTAGGGATATTGGTAGGTGATCGATACCTTGGTGGGAATGCAGCGTTGAGGATGTACCGGCTGAAGGCCTAGGGTCCTAGCAGGCCAGGGCTTGGGCTTCGGTCCTCGCCGCTGTCGTAGCGTCCGCCGCGTCGAGGATGATAGCCGCGGTGGGCTCCTTCCCTTGGGTCATTGTAGGTGCGTCTACGGGCGTTGATGGTGCTGCGTGCATCGCGGTTACGGCCGAGACACTGATGTATCTGGGCCGCAGTGCGCTACCCTCCGCCTTGTGGAGCCTGGTGGACTGATGCGTCCCTGGCGGGGCGCACCGAGGACGTGCGTTGGCTGGTGTCGAGCTCGCATCATCGAGACAACGAGCTCTCCTCCTGCTGCGCCGCTGTAAGGCCGAGATGGCGGACTAGAGGGGGTGAATAGTCTTTTCTAAAATTAATCGCGTCGGCTAACCGATATAAATGCGGAATTAAAACAATCGGTCTAGCCAAGACTACACCCCTCTATATATGTTCACTAGCACCTTGCAAAGATACTAATAAAGCAACTAAGGTGCCGGGCTAGCTAGAGCTCTCCTAAACAATTCTAGGAGCAATGTCACACAAACCTATGCCTCTAGTACTTTAAGTAACAAGGAAGCTCCTACACATGCTAGTAAGCAAAAACACAAAGCTAACTAAGCTCACTAGCAATGCTCAATAACAAGGCAACCAACGCCTAATTAGAGAGCGTAAATACTTAGCTACACAAACTAAGCAATATGACTAACAAGGTTACTAAAACTAAATTAGCCACGCAAGGGAGCTACTTCTATGCTACACAAGCAAGAAGATAATTAGCTAGCTACACAAGCTATCTAATTACAAGAGCAACTACACAAGCTTAATATATATATATAAGTAATTTCAAGCTTGTGTAATGGGGATGCAAACCAACGGGAAGAACAAGGTTGACACGATGATTTTTCTCCCGAGGTTCACGTGTTTGCCAACACGCTAGCCCCCGTTGTGTCGACCGCTCACTTGGTGGTTCGACGGCTAATTAGCATCACCCGCTAAGCCCACACGTCGGGCACCGCAAGAACCTACCCCTTGAGTGAGGGTAGCTCAATGACACGCTTTACTAAAGTTGCTCTTCGCGACTCCCGCGGGGCGAGCACAAGTACCCCTCACAAGCACTTCTCCGGAGCGCCGCACAAGCTTCTTGCGGGCTTCGACGGAGACCACCACCAAGCCGTCTAGGAGGTGGCAACCTCCAAGAGTAACAAGCACCACCGGCTTGCAACACGACCACCTAGTGCCACTCGATGCAACCTCATGATGCAATCGCACTAGAATCGCTCACTCACACAATCGAATGATCACTATCAAGTATATGTGTGATGGAGGGCTCCCAAGCACTCACAAGCATGGACACTAAGTCCCTTGAGGTGCTCAGCACCAGCCATGGCCGAGGGCCACTTCTATTTATAGCCCCAAGGGGCTAAACTAGCCGTTACCCTTCACTGGCAGCGGTCGGGCCGACCGGACGCTCGGTCGTGTTGACCGGACGCTGGACCTCGGCGTCCGGTCGCTGCAGAGACGGCCACGTGTCCCAGTTCAACGGTCACTTGACTTGACCGGACGCAGCGGCTGACTTTCAACCGGCCGGACGCTGAACCCCGGCGTCCGGTCGTTTCAATAGAGTATTGACCTCGGCCGGACACGTCCGGTCACACTTGATCGAGCGACGGCGGCGTCGGTCACACTCCAACCTGCGTCATCGATATGTCGGCTGACCGGACGCACGACTGCCGCGTCCGGTGCATTCAGATCCAAATAGTCTCGGTCGGTTGACCGACGCCAAAGATCTTCGCGACTAACTCGTTCTCACTTCTAACTTCTTCATCCTTGCTCCAAAGAGCCAACCACCAAGAATTTGCATCCGGCGCAATAGAAAATAGGCATACCATTTTCCCGAAAGCGCCCAAAACCCATCTCACCCC